CACACACACACACACACACACACTCACTCTCTCACTCACACACACTCACTTACTCACTCACACACACTCACTTACTCACTCACTCACTCACACACACACACACACACACACTCACTCATCTGCTGCATGTGTGTCATGCTCCTGATCTGAGATCAGCATGTTCCTCATATCTGACAGCACAGGATCCAAACATTCAGTGCTTATTATGACTCATAATTTCACACAATCTTTTGTTCATTTTGGTCCTGCCTTCATTAAAGGATCAGATCAGACTGAGATGAGAATCAAACCCATGTGATGTTCAGTCTTCTGTGATTCAGCAGAATGTTCACGCTGCTCGTTTCATGCTCGGTTTGAAGATTGTGAGTCATGTGGGTTCATGAGGGTGATTCTCATGTTCACTTGATCATCCTTTAACACTGCAGACATGATGCTCTTCCTCACTTCCTCACTCCACTACAAACATCTAAACATTCGTAAATCAAGATACAGTTACCAGAGTTGTACAATGATGTCAGATAAGGCTTTTTTAAATCTAATGTTAGTGTGCATCTCCAGTAAATGTACAGTATCTTGATTGAAGAATGGTTAGATATTCCAGTAATTATGAAGTTTGCTCACTTTCTTGCATCACACATTCTTGTTCATTCAGATTTGTGTTTGAGAATTGAATAGTCACATGACCTCATCAGCGAGTGACGTCCAGTTACCTGCAGATAAGAACATTAGTTTGCATTTATAAATCAAATCACACTGGAAATGGAAGGTCAAATCGAGCACATTGCATTGTGGGATACAGTATGTGATGATGTAGATCATTCCATGCATCCAGTGCACAGTGTACATGCTGCATACTGCAGATCAGTAGTATGTTAGTGAGTTGATGATCGCATCCTGAGCTCTAGATTCTGATCTCATCTGGATTTCTTGTGTGATTAACAATGTCTTTCTTCCTCTTATGGGCCACAGAAATTCATGATGAAGGTAGGAATCCATGTGAGTGTGTGTCCATGTCCGTGTCGTTGTTGTGCATCCCGCAGTGATGTGATGTAGTGCAATGTAATGTAGCTGTACAGTGAGCTAATTCCAGTGAGACGAGAGCGAGAGCAGGAGTGAGTGTAATGAGAAAATAAAGGTCCTGTTCTTCCTGTCCTGAAGCATTACTGCAGCCATTACCTGATACATACACACACACACACACACTCGGCCTTAAGAGAGCCATTAACACACACACACACACACTCGGCCTTAAGAGAGCCATTAACACACACACACACACACTCCCAGGAACATCAGCCTCACGATGGAAAAACACTCAAACACATTTAGACTCGTTTGACATATCGGCATTCTTCATGTTCGTTTATGGCATGTACATTGCTATTTGTTTTGTCCATTTATATGCAAATCGATTGTTTTGAAGTTTTACTGAAAATAGCAGGGTAATAAATATTTAAATGGAAATGGTTTTAAAATTAAATAAGTTATGTATTATATGAGTTTTAAATATTAGATATACTCTTAAATGTATAAAACAATCATTTAAATAAATATTTTAAAATAGCCTAAATACAAAAATAAATATTATAAATAAATATTTTTAAAAATACCCTACACACGCGCACACACATATTTTATATATAGAAATATTTTAATGTATATTTTAATATTTATATTAAAATATTTGTATACATAGACGTTTATTTTTTTATATTTTATATATTTAAATATACTTAATGTAAATTTGATGTTATAATTAGATAACTGTATATTTGTGTGTGTATTTAGGGTGTTGTGTGATTTAGCTGTGAATGTGAGGCTGATGAGTGTCGTATTGTATTCAGTGTTATGAGTGTGTATCTCTGTGTGTGTGTGTGTGTGTTTCAGACGGCGCAGGGCGGAGGTCACCGGACGCTGCTCTACGGTCACGCGGTCTTACTGAGACACTCCTACAGCGGGATGGTGTGTGTTACTCTGACGACTCGTCACGTCTGAGTGTCTGTGTGTGAGATTCACCTGTCGATGTGTTTCTCTCTCCAGTATCTGTGCTGTCTGTCTACGGCTCACTCATCCACCGACAAACTAGCATTTGACGTGGGGCTTCAGGAAGACACGACAGGTGATGTCACTTCCTGTTTACATTCCCTGACTGAATGTTTCGCAGGAACATGTGCTGGTCATATTTCATCACAAAATCAGAAAACAGAAATAAAAACAATGAGAATGAAGCCTGTTCTCAGGACCATTAGAAGCATTGCAACATTATTTTCATTATTCTTATTCTTATTACTGTTATGCAGTGTCATTTTAGTATCATTGAGACACTGTTATAGTTTTTGTTTATATTTTGAATTATGTTGTATTTTCATGTTTTAGTTATTTTGTTGTGTTTTGTCATTTTTATTAGTTTTTGGTTGTAAATGATCTGATTTATAACTATACTTATCCTGTGTGTGTGTGTGCGCGCGTGTGGTGGACCATCCACCCGGCGTCCAAGCAGAGGTCAGAGGGTGAGAAGGTGCGAGTGGGTGATGACCTCATCCTGGTCAGCGTGTCGTCTGAACGATACCTGGTGAGTTTTACCAGAATTAGAAGCTGATAGCTGCACGTCAGCTAAAACCCGTGAAAAACACGCTGATGAGTCTGAGGGCGTGTCTCTGTTCCAGCACTTGTCGTATGGTAACAGCAGTTTGCACGTGGACGCAGCTTTCCAGCAGACGCTCTGGAGCGTGGCTCCGATCTGCTCCGGCAGTGAAGTGGCTCAGGGTGAGTGAGTATTTGACACGCTAATGTCATGCTACATTCCACTTCCTGTTCATTTACTCAGCACCGTGTGTTTCAGGCTTCCTGATTGGTGGAGATGTTCTGCGGCTGCTGCATGGTCACATGGACGAGTGTTTGACCGTCCCGTCAGGAGAACACGGAGAGGAACAGCGCAGGTCAGGGTTCATCTATTATCTGATCCAGTGGCGTTCACTGATATAAAAGACTAGTTCACACAAATCTGTCATCATTCAATCAACCGCATGCTTCTCCAAAGCAGTGAATGAGGACAGATGCTGTCAAATGATGACACAAGGATCATGTTTGGTGAACTGCTCCTTTTAGGGGTCTGTTTGTTCCTGTGGGTCAATGGTTCTCAACCAGGGGTCCTGGGTCCACCAGGAGCCTCAAGATGACTTAAAGTTGTTTATAACAAAATAACCATTAAAATAAGCACAAAAAAAAATCAAGATATTTCTTATTTTAATGCAGCCTCTCAACAGCTTAGTAATTACCCAGTAATCACAAAAAAATTGAAAAGTCTTGTGAATTTATTGGATAAAAAGAGCAGGAACCCTGAGGAATATTCAGGTCTTATAACTTCTAAAATTATGAAATCTGTTGTACAGAAACTTCAAATATGGTTGTGTCCAGTGGGTTAAAGCGGCTGAGAAGCGCTGATGTAGATGATGTGGAGAGTGTGTTGTGTGTATCTGGTTCTTCACGGCTCACTGCTCCATATGGACCGTACTGTGTGTTGAGGTTGATTAAACACTCTTGATGGTTGACGTGTGGAGTGTTTCGGCTCTCTGAGGGTTTCAGTAGGATGTCTTCATCTTCTGAGGTCAACCGCTGTGGCTGGAGGTTGTTGGCGTCCCTGTGAAGAGCTGGATATACATTTGTGCTCATATACGAAGGGCCAGGAAAAAACTGGATCAAAATAAAAAAAAAACTCCATGACATCTTGACTAACGAAATGAGATGAAGACGTGCAGAATATGAGCCCTTTAACATCGTACTCCAGTTATCTCTCGTAACACACCGTTGCTTCTCCTGAAGGTAAAGTAGGACGTTCTCTTGTTCTTCAGTAGAAACAGAGTCTCTCGGGTCTCTTCGTGAGGTTCTGTGAGACAGAATGAGATCTGCTGTGACTGCTGTAATTACAGAAACACCTGTCCTCTGTGGGACATCAGACACGGGTAGAAATGCGTTACTCTGCTCCTCTCTCTACCGCAAACTATTTAACCCAGAATAAACAGATACCTCCTAAAATCACTCAAGTCATTCAACAGACACTTAAACATTAAAAATAAAATGAAAGCTAAATATAGTTTGGTTAGATGAGCTTCTGATTATGAGAGCATATGTTATATGATTATGAGGATCCGTAACTTGCATTGCATTCAATGTGTACATTTGATCAGTTCTTGCATTCCCTGGGAATCGAACCCATGACCTTGGCATTGCTCGCGGCATGATCTACTGTTTCAGCTGTATAAATCATTCGTTAGTATGAGTTTAAGCTCCTCAGCTTCACATATAAAGCTATAGTCTGTTCCTCTCAGGGTTTGATGTTCTCTTTATCCGTGTTTCTCGTCACCGGTGGCCTTGAGCGTGTCACGTCTGCTTTTGAACGCATTAATTCAAAGAACGTTTCTCTGTATCCATCTATCTCTTTTAACTCGAACAAGAGATGTTCTTGCACAAGTATTACGCAAGTGTGTGTTTTGCGAGGACCGCTGCATTGTGGGACCATGTTTGTGTGTAGGTGTGTGTGTCTTTCTCTTCTCTGGTGTGTAAAGCAGCAGTAGTCAGACCAGAAATGTTCCCAGCGCACATCGTGTTCCAGACACTGATTGTGATTCTTCAGACTGCAGTTTGAGGTCAGACACAGACCGTCAGGAGGAGACGTCGTGATGAATGATGCTGTCTTAATAATCATTGTGTGTATTTTTGCTTTTTTTGATCCACATCAACAGTCTGAGCTCCGCTTCTCAACCTTCAGCTGCCCTCAAGAGTCTCACACAGACTTGTTTTGTGCTGCACAGGAAGTGATGTCATTATTGGTCTCAATTCTTTGCACTACTTCTGCTGTGCCAGTGTCAGAAATTAAGGAACAATTTTTGATTTTCAAGGACATTTTCTACCTTTCATTTTTTTTCTAGCCATATACAATTTCCATAAAATAAAATAAAATACTTCAGTCAAATACTTTAACTGAAATTATAATTCATTTGTCATTCGGAACAATTATGACTGTTAGGACTGATCTCTAATATCTGACATCTGACAAAACTCACTAATAACACATTTACACACAAGTATTTTGGTCACTGAGCTCCGCTTCATCTGTGATTCTGCTTTAAATAGCAATGTACTGTAGATTTACAGTATGGACTGATGTGTAGACACTCATATGTTGGTTTTGTCTCCTGCAGGACGGTGCATTACGAGGGTGGAGCCGTGTCCATCCACGCCAGATCCCTCTGGAGGCTGGAGACGCTCCGAGTGGCGTGAGTGATGAGCGTTTCTCTGTGTGTGCTGATTCACACGCTCAGAGCACTTCAGTGCTGAGGAGGAGCTCTTGAGTTCATGAGTGCACCATTACTGAGATCTGTGCTGGGGAAGAGTGCAATAAAGCATCTCTCAATGCCACGCCGGGGACACGTGCACGGCCACATTTTAATAAAATCAATCAATCAATCAAAATCATTAGCTTGCTTTTTTATTTCAGTTCATTTTTATTATTTACAAAAGTCTGGAGTAGTTAAGATTTTTCAATGTTTTTGAGAGAAGTCTCTTCTGCTGACCAAGGCTGCATTTATTTGATCGAAATACAGTAAAAATCTTGAGAAATTATCACAATTTAAAACAGCTGTTTTCTGTGTGAATATCTGTTTAACTGTAATGTATTTCTGTGATGTGCAGCTGTATTTTCAGCATCATTACTGCAGTCTTCAGTGTCACATGATCTTCAGAAATCATTCTAATATGTGACCCTGGAGCACAAAACCAGTCATAAGGGTAAATTTTTCGAAATTGAGATTTATAGATCATCTGAAAGATGAATAAATAAGCTTTCCATTGATGTATGGTTTGTTAGGATAGGACAATATTTGAACATCTGGAATCTGAGGGTGCAAAAAAATCTAAATACTGAGAAAATCATCTTTAAAGTTGTTCAAATGAAGTTCTTAGCAATGCATATTACTAATCAAAAATTAAGTTTTGATATAATTACGGTAGGAAATTTACCAAATATCTTTATGGAACATGATCTTTACTTAATATCCTAATGATTTTTGGCATAAAAGAAAAATCATAATTTTGACCCATACAATGTATTGTTGGCTATTGCTACAAATATACCCCAGCGACTTAACACTGCTTTTGTGCTCCAGGGTCACATATTACAATTATTTGAAAATCTGGAATCTGAGGGTGCTAAAAAATCTAAATATTGAGAAAATCAATTTTAAAGTTGTCCAAATGAAGTTCTTAGCCATGCATATTACTAATCAAAAATTAAGTTTTGATATATTTACGGTAGGACATTTACAAAATATCTTCATGGAACATGATCTTTACTTAATATCCTAATGATTTTTGGCATAAAAGAAAAATGTATAATTTTGACCCATACAATGTATTGTTGGCTATTGCTACAAATACACCCCAGCGACTTAACACTGCTTTTGTGCTCCAGAGTCACATATGATGATTACGGTAGTGTTTCAGTTTATTAGTTCTATTTTAAATCCACACATTTAGAAACGACATGACGTGAAAAGACACTCTTTATTTAACTCCATATGAACCTGTAGAGCACAGACTGACCGGCTGTACTGTGTTTGGACCCTGTGAGGTTCCCATCATGCCGCAGTGCTGATGTCAAACCCCTCTGGCGTTTGCGTTTCCATGAAGCCTTTAATCACACACTGCAGGACGTCAGCTCCTCTGCGTTCTGCTCTTCACAGACTAAAAATAATCCGGGACGCTGAAGTTGGAGCGTTTTATCAAAGTGGCATTTTGGGGTTGGGGCCAAATACTGGGGCAGGAGCCCAACACAGTTTACTTTCTGCTTTTGAATTACAAATCAGCGTCTGTTCAGGTTTTCATCGTGAGCATCTCGTCATTTTCTCATCCTCACGTTGAATCTCTGAGCTGCTGTTTGTGATGAAAGCATCGTAAGAGTAGATCGTATGCACTGTATATCAAGTCTTCTGAAACCAAATGATGCTTACTGTTTGAAAACCACTTGAATTTCAGTCATCATTAACTGATTGTCTTTACACTGTTCCTTTAGTACTCTGTCTGAACTCAGCAGTGGTTTAGTGTGTGCCGCAGTGCATTGTGGGTAAGCTGAAGCCTGTCCTCTGGCTGTGTGCAGGTGGAGCGGCAGTCACATCCGCTGGGGTCAGCTGTTTCGGTTGCGTCACGTGACCACCGGGAAGTATCTCAGCATGATGGACGATCAAGGACTCCTGCTGATGGACAAGGAGAATGCGGACGTCAAATCAACGGCTTTCTGCTTCCGTTCCTCAAAAGTGAGACTGACGCCACACAAACCTGAGCTGAACCTGAAATACCTCAAACACTTGTCGTTAGATCAGTTCATCTGCATATGAGGATCAAAATGCGAATGTTAATTAAATTCTGACTCTGACTCAGTTCCTGAATTTGAATTGAATTGGTGTTGAAGCAGCAAACGGGATAAAGCCTTGGCCTTATGTGTTTTTATAATTAAAGAAAGAATAATTGATGGCTCTTATTTGTTTTATCAATATTGATTTATTAATATGAGTTTAGACAAAGCATGTTTTTTTTACGCACCAGTGATTAAAAATGCAATTATTTTTCTAATTATTATGGAAAAAAATTTAATTTTAATAAATAAAATATAAAAAAAGGTAATTGCATCTTTTTATCTCACAGTTTTTGGTGTGGATTAACTGGTTCTCACCATGAATATAGCCATAGATGCTAAGAAAGAAATAAACAAACAAACACAATTTTGACTTATTTTCTTGAGATTGCAAATCTTGCAATTTAGATTTTTTTTCAGAGTATTAGCAGAATTGTGAGATATAAACTCAAAAGATTTTTCAAAAAAGTTGCAATTACCTGTTTTAATAATTTGATAATTACACCGTTGTTAGCTTCCATTTTTGTGTTCATAATTAATCCGCATTTTTAAATGGACTTATTTTAATGATTTATATGTTGATGACTAAACACAGTAAATTTCTCTTCCTGTCATTTGAGTTCCTGTGTTGAGAGCTATTGAATTCAAATTGAAAGGAAACGGATTTTATATTGAGATGTTTGCTGACTGAACCATAGTTTACCCATGATCCTCTGCTCGTCCTCCTGCAGGAGAAGCTGGACTTTGGCCTGAGGAAGGAGGTGGATGGGATGGGCGTCCCAGACATCAAATACGGCGACTCGGTCTGTTATATCCAGCATGTGGACACTGGGCTCTGGCTCACGTACCAGTCTGTGGACGCCAAGTGTGCGCGAATGGGCGGAGTTCAGAGGAAGGTGAGCGCGTGAACGTGGCTTTATATGAAAGCGTTTGACAGGATCTGAGCGTGTGTGAGTGAGTGTGTGTGTCACTGTGAGTTCAGTGTGATGGATTCATTCATACGTGACGCCCGTGAGCTGCTTCTGAGAGATTCATTACAGACGCGTCAGACTCTCACACCCTCATCATTAGCGCTGCAGCACACACACACACACACACACACACTCGAGTGGAGGATGAATGTAACGTACAGATATGTGTGTGTGTGTGTGTTTTAGGCCATCATGCATCATGAGGGTCACATGGATGACGGTTTGACGCTCTCACGATCACAACACGAGGAGTCACGCACCGCTAGAGTCATTCGCAGCACGGTTTTCCTCTTCAACCGCTTCATCAGGTAACACACACACACACTCACTCACACACACACGTTTACTATTGACTGAGGACTTCATGAGTGAATGATGCAGCTGATCACAGTGACGTCATTCAAGCACACGCTACAGATCTGTACCAACACGCATCACTTATTACCTAAACCACACCTGCATAAATTCATTTTTAAAACTGAGGAAACAGATAAAATTACACCTGAATCCAATTTTTTCAAACCCAACTGGACCCAAATGTCAAAAGCAAAAAATCTGCACATCTGTCTTTTTTTTTAGTTGAATTTAGAACTTGGTTTGATTTAGTTGAGTCTGATTTCAACTGCATTTAGGTGTTTTTCTGTAATCAGTATCTGGCAACAGGACATTGTTTTTCTGCTTGGGCAGGAAATCATAATAATAACGTTGTTGTGGAATTGTTTAATATTTGTTTTAAATAATACACTTTTTCTAGATTTCAGATCTTCTGGGGTCTATTTGGCACATTTGTTTACATTTTTAAAAAAATAATCAAGGCTCACTCAAGGCTACTAATATCAGTCTCCAAAGATTATCATCGTTAACTAAAACTTTGTTCAAAATTTATTTCAAATGAAATAAATTTTAACTGAAAAAACAAGGCAGCATTTCTCTTTTTTGTTAGAGTTAAAGTTGAAGTACTAAAATAAAACTGAAATAAAAAATTTATAAAAAACCATTAGACATGTTTAACAAAACAAAAATGACAAAAACACAACAAAATGATTCAAAATCTAACTAAAATTAAAACAGAAGATACAACAATGAAAACTAATTCAAAATTTTGAATTCAAAAACCAAAATATTATCTTAATGATACTAAAATAACATCATCCTGGCCTGTGTCTGAGACACAGCAAAGTTCTGGACACGAACGATCTATGTGGACCCGTCAAAACCTCTAATACACACACACACACACACACACTCAAACACAAACACTCTCACACACACACACTCACACACACTCAAACACACACACTCACACACACTCAAACACACAAACACAAGCACACTCAAACACAAACACACTCACTCACACACACACACACACTAAAACACACACACACTCACACACACCACACACTCAAACACACACACACACACACACACACACACTCAAACACACACACACACACACACACACACACACACACACGCACACACACACACACACACACACACACACACACACTCTCACACACGCACACACACACACACACACACACACACAGAGTGTTTTATCTGTTAACGGTCCTGTCCCTCCTCCCTGTGCGCAGGGGTCTAGACACTCTGAGTAAGAAGGGAAAGACATCCACCCTCGATCTGCCCATCGAATCAGTCAGTCTGAGTCTTGAGGATCTGATCGGATACTTCCAGCCGCCCGACGAACACCTGGAGCACGAGGACAAACAGAACCGCCTGCGAGCGCTCAAGAGCAGACAGAACCTCTTCCAGGAGGAGGTACGGATCACAGAAACACCAGACACAGCGTGGGATTCCTTTTCATTAGAATCAGAGCTGTCCTATAGAAGAAGCACAACTCAAGCCATGTGATTCACAATACACTGAACAAAAATCTGGTGTAGAATTAACTATGAAACGATTTTCACTCAGAAACTGCTAGTAAATATCACTAATAATTACAAATAAGTAACACACTGCAGTAAGCTCAACATTTTGATACAGAGAAACTGAAGTAGTATTATCTTTTAAACCATATTTCAATAATGTTTGCTTTATTTACAACTTCGAAAAATCATTTTTACAGTTTACAAAGAATCAGATAGCACTAGTACTACTTTACTCCGTCATTTCTCGTCAGATAATCTGAGCTGCTCCACATTCATTTTTATAGTGAGCTGTTTTTATTTCTCCTGAGAGTTTATAGAAGAAACATCTGAGACGATGTTGATATTTCAGCTGCATGCATGAGTTCATGTGTGTGTGTGTGTGTGTGTGTGTGTGTGTGTAGGGAATGATCAACCTGGTGCTGGAGTGTATCGATCGTCTGCATGTGTACAGCAGTGCGGCTCATTTTGCAGACGTGGCCGGTAAAGAGGCTGGAGAATCCTGGAAGTCCATCCTGAACTCCCTCTACGAGCTCCTGGGTATGATCCATATTCCAGCACTTTCCATCTGCACACATCAATAACCGGTGAAATCTGCTGACCGCGGCTCCAGGAGCTCCGATGCGTCTCGGACGAGTCCTGCTGCACGAGAGAGATGCACTGTGTTCACCATCACTCACTAGTGCACTGCTGACAGCAGTGTTTAGCAAAGTGCACTACTAACTCACACACTTCACACACTGTATATGTATACTGCATGCTGCTGTGATTCAGTAATAGTTCATCTGTTCCTCATGAACCTTTGAAGAGCTTCATTCCTAATGAATCGTATTATTCCCGTCACATGATCATCTATCTGTCTGTCTGTAGCTGCTCTGATCAGAGGAAACAGGAAGAATTGTGCTCAGTTTTCCGGCTCTCTGGATTGGCTGATCAGTCGTCTGGAGAGGCTGGAAGCGTCGTCTGGTATGTAGCGTTATTTATTGTGACGAGTGGATCGTTACGGTGTGCTGGTGTGATGATGTGTGAGTGTGTGTGTGTGTGTGTGTCCGCAGGGATTCTGGAGGTTCTGCACTGTGTTCTGGTGGAGAGTCCGGAAGCTCTAAACATCATTAAAGAGGGACACATCAAATCCATCATCTCACTGCTGGACAAACACGGACGCAACCACAAGGTGACTAAACTAGTGATGCTGTGAGCTGAATAATCATCAGCCAGACTCTCTCTTTTGATCATGTGGTGCTTTAGCGATTCACTTCATTTGATCTGTGCAGAAGTTCCAGTGTGGTTTTTCTATCAATGTCTAGTTTTCATGGCTTACTCAGTTGGTTGTGTTTTTTATCTGTTCATGTTTAATACCGTCACCTTAATTCAGATCTTTACTGATTATATGTCATTGTAATACTAAAAAAATTAACCATAGCACAGATTATTGTTACACATTTATTCAAATAGCTTAGAATCAGCATAGATCTGTCAAAAAACAATTACATTTAATCAGTTAAAAAGTGAGCACGGTTTAAATATGACTATCTGAGGTTTAATAATTAGATTAGACGACAAATACTGTATATGATCCTGTTTATTTCAAACCAGTGCTATTAGTATTATTGAATCAGATTTTTTTTTTTTTATTGGATTGTTTTAAGTTTTATTAATTTTACTGTGTTTTTGTAATTTTTATTATACACACACATATTTTTATATTTATAATTTAATATTATATATATATATATTTTTTTATTTTTATTTATTTAAAAATTTTTTTTTATATCTATAGTTTTTAAGTTGTAATGTTACGTTTGTTTATTTTAGTTTGTTATTTTAGTACTTAAACTATATGAAAATGAGAAATGTTGCTTTGTCAACTAGCTGAAATTAAAATATTTTTTTATGCTTTATTTCGACTTCCTTTCAAACAATGAGCGTTTTTATGGTTTTAGTTTTAGTTAACAATAATAAACTGTTTCAAACATTATTTATTTATTACTACCACTATTATAGAAGTATAATTTTTACTCATTTCATTTATGAATGACTGACAAATATTCATAACATTAAGTTTATTATTTATGTAAAAAATGTGTTATCCAGCAATGGATTGAAATGTTATATGCAGTTAAAACAGATAAATCTTAAATAAATAAATATTAGGCCTAAAAAATTTTTTTGTGTGTGTGTGATACTGCTCTAATTGACAAAATCAGTGACATCTGCTGTTCGTATAATGTATATGTAATCACAAGGATGTGAACTTTTAATTCAATTCGATTTAAATTTATATGTATAGTTCTTTACACAATGCACATCAAAGCAGCTTCACAGAAAATGCATGTGTCTACATTACAAAGCAGAAGTGAATGTGTCCAAGTAATGTTCATTTCACAAATGAACAGTTCAAGGTAATAGAATCATACAGTTAGCTAACATGAATTAATTTCAGGCAGAAGCTCATTAAAGTGATTTTTACAAGTGTGATCATAATGATTACAATATAGAGAAATTTTGGCATCTGTGCATGTCGATTCAAGTTGGCGTCATCTGGGGTCCTCGCAGGGGTCAGCATCATCTCTTCACAGGTGTGGGGTCATCTGAAGTCTTTCAGACAGCTTCTGGAGCTGCTGTAATCTCTAGTTACCTCGAGATGGGCATCCCGGGGTAGGAACAGAAAGGCAGATAGAAAATAATTAGCATAGCTGCTGTTCATTAAGTTTCAAGCAAAAAAAAAAAAGTTTCAGATGATGGTTTTTATATTTGTATATGTGAAGGTGTGTATTATGGGACATCATGTATGTGTTTGAGTAAGCTGATGATTGGCTCGTAGCCGACCTGACGGCGGTGTGTCTGTGATGTTCAGGTGCTGGATGTCCTGTGTTCTCTGTGTGTGTGTCACGGTGTGGCAGTTCGCTCCAATCAGCACCTGATCTGTGATAACCTGCTGCCTGGCAGAGACCTGCTGCTGCAGACGCGACTCGTCAATCACGTCAGCAGGTAGAACAGCATCGCCATCACTTCCTGTCATCACTTCCTGTCACCTCACACTCTCTCAGTGCATCTCTCTGTCGCTCGTTCAGCATGAGGCCCAACATCTTCCTGGGCGTGAGTGAAGGCTCCGCCCAGTACAGGAAGTGGTATTATGAGCTGATCGTGGACCACGTGGAGGCGTTCGTGACGGCCGAAGCCACTCACCTGCGGGTGGGCTGGGCCTCAACACAGGGCTACGGGCCGTATCCGGGCGGAGGAGAGGGCTGGGGCGGGAACGGCGTCGGGGACGACCTCTACTCATACTGCTTTGATGGACTACACCTGTGGGCAGGTAACAACAGAGATTATTAATCGCTGTGATGCAGTGCTCATGTGCGGGCGAACTATTTAAAGCAATAGATCACCCAAAAAAATGGAAATGCACTCATTCTGAGGCCATCTAAGATGAGTTTGTTTCTTCATCATATTTGTAGAAATGTACCACTGCAGTCCATCAATTAATGTCTTGAGAAGACAAGAGAAACAAATCCATCATTAAGAGTCTATAATCCATAATAACGCTTCCTCCAGTGAAAAAGTGTTCTGGTGTGAATCAGGAGAGAAATCTGCACAGATCAAGCAGCGTTTAAACAGCTCTAAACACATATGTGGCTGGATTTTGATGTGAGAGACAACAGGAGATGCACTTTTTCACTGGAGGAAGCATTATTATGGATTATTGTGATCCACTGGTGAGCAACTGATGTAATGCTAAATTTCGCTAAATCAAAAACAAACTCCTCTGCATCTTGCAAGGCCTGTTGGATGGTTAAGGTTATGGTTTATTTACAGTATATAAAAACAAAAGTCTACAGAATGTCCCCATTTAGAGAGCTGAGTGTGTGTGTGTGTTCTGATGTGAGATATCTGCTGATGGTAGTGAAAACATCACTCACATAACAGCACATGTCAGCGGTTTTAAAGAGCCGTAGGCCATGTGACCGTAACGTGCGCTGTGATTGGCAGGTTGCGTGGCGCGTTCGGTCAGCTCACCCAATCAGCACGTGCTGCGGGCTGAGGATGTGGTCAGCTGCTGTCTGGATCTTAGCGCTCCCAGCATCTCCTTCCGCATCAACGGCCAGCCGGTCCAGGGAATGTTTGAGAACTTCAACTCAGACGGACTCTTCTTCCCCGTCGTGTCCTTCTCCTCTGGAGTCAAGTGAGTCTCATCGTCTCCAGAGAACACCCCCTGTCTGCCATTGGTCAGTCTGACAGATAACTCACATGAACGGCTGAGTCAGAACTGCTCAATCAAAACCGCTCAATGTCATCATCATCATTGCATATGGATGATGTGATATCACCTGTAAACTTTAACCTGCTCTGATTGGTGAAAAACTCTCGTCCTCCTCAGAGTGCGCTACCTGTTGGGCGGTCGTCATGGAGAGTTCAAGTTCCTGCCTCCATCTGGTTACGCTCCATGTTTTGAGGCCGTTTTACCACGAGAGAAGCTGCGTGTGGAGCACAGTCAGGAGTACAAACATGATCATGGGAGAACACGCGACCTCCTGGGACCCACAGTCACACTGTCACAGGCGGCCTTCACTCCAACACCGGTGGACACCAGTCAGGTACATCTACCTATACACACACCTGAACACACACCAGTCAGGTACACACACTTGTACACACACCTGAACACACACCAGTCAGGTACACACACCTGTACACACACCAGTCAGGTACACACACCTGAACACACACCAGTCAGGTACACACACACCTGAACACTAACCAGTTGTTTGATGAGTTTGTTAATGAATAGGTTCAGACGTGATGATCACGTTTGTGTGTGTGTGTGTGTGTGTGTATGTGAACATGTTTCTGCTGTATAGATCGTGTTGCCTCCACATCTTGAGCGGATCCGGGAGAAGCTGGCAGAAAACATCCATGAGCTGTGGGTGATGAACAAGATTGAGTTGGGATGGACCTACGGAGCGGTACGTCAGACACTCGTCATGTTCATGTCCTCTGTGGAGGATTGAAGCGTTTCCTCTGAATCAGAGATAAATTACTGAGGATTTCAGTCATTTACATTTTTCTGATATAATTAATTAATAGCTTTTCATCGACTCACAAACCCCAGTCCAGCAGAAACAGTGAGGTTGTTGATGAGCAAGAGGAAAGTCAGCTGACACTAGATGAATGGTTTTAAGTCATGCCACATGATAAAATAATCATAAAATATTCTTAGTTCAATTATTGTGAATGCAGTTATAACGTGTGATTGATTGTTCTGCCATTATCATTTAATGTTCCTCATTAATTCCCTATCAAAAATGAACTTTAAAATGTATTTTTTGTTGAATATGTCTATGGTGGAAAGCTCTTGATCTCCATGCACTCATGCATAGTCTGTTATGAATTCCTGCATTTTCTAACACAAATATGGTTCCCTCCATTCATGATGCAGGTGAGAGATGATAATAAACGGCAGCATCCGTGTCTGGTGGAGTTCTCCAGACTTCCTGAACAAGAGCGCAGCTACAACCTACAGATGTCTCAGGAGACGCTCAAGTTAGTTTCATCTGATGTGTTAATCAGTTTGATATCTTAGTTTACTAGTAATGACATTACATTTGGTATAATAATTGAAGACCTTGTTTTTGTATTGACTTGTAATTGTGTTTCATGTTCGTTGGATGGTTAGCACTTAAATATGTGACCATGGAGCACAAAACCAGTCTTAAGTGTCCATTTTTCAAAATTGAGATTTATACATCATCTGAAAGCTGAATAAGTAAGCTTTCCATTGATGTGTGGTTTGTTAGGAGAGGACAATATTTGGCTGAGATACAACTATTTGAAAATCTGGAATCTGAGGGTGCAAAAAAATCTAAATATTGAGAAAATCATCTTTAAAGTTGTTCAAATGAAGTTCTTAGCAATGCATATTACTAATCAAAAATTACGTTTTGATATATTTACGGTAGGAAATTTACCAAATACTTTAAAGTTGTCCAAATTAAGTTCTTAACAATGCATATTACTAATCAAAAATTACGTTTTGATATATTTACGGTAGGAAATTTACCAAATATCTTCATGGAAGATGATCTTTACTTAATATCCTAATGATTTTTGGCATAAAAGAAAAATTGATAATTTTGACCCATACAATGTATTGTTGGCTATTGCTACAAATATACCCCAGCAACTTAACACTGCTTTTGTGCTCCAGGGTCACATTTGTGAAAAGGCACATGCTGCTGAAATCATGATGTAGTAAATCAGATTGATCGGTGTCGTTCTTCACTAGTAGATCCAGTGCTGTCACGTGAACTAACGTCACTGATGAATCAGAGTCAATAGAGTCAATAAGCTCACATTGTCTTTGAGATGAATCATATTTGTGCTGGAGTCTCTTTGACTGTCATTAGTGTCTGTCTCTATCAGCACTCCTCTTTTCTGTCATCTTCTTTCTTTTCTGTTTCAGAAGCGTTCTAATGACTTTAATTACAGTCCTGTGCTGTGTGTGTGTGTGTGTGTGAGTCCCAGCGGTGCGCTCGTGTCTTAATGAGGTGTTGTGTGTGATTGTGCAGGAGTCACACTGGACTGACTTTGACTGAGCAGCACACCTGTCATCTGACAACTGACACAGTCCTGGATTGTTTATTGCACACAAATAAACATCTCATTAAATCAAATACTAACATGATTAATGTTGTCTAGCTCATAGTGTCGTTTTGTTGCTGGGTTTTGATGATGAAGGATGAACACAGACTGTGTGCTTTGACATCTGACTAATTGGACTAGACTCTGATCTGCTGTAGAGTTTGACTGACACACAGACTTCATCAGCAACAGAAGATGTGACACGTGTTTCTCATCAGTTTATTTTGCTCTCATTAACTATACATGATTTTATGGTTAGTTGCATTTATAGTTTTTATCATTGATTTCACTGCTGTGTGCGACGCATCACATCTAGGATCTGTTTTTGGTTCACGACCCTCTTGAGATTCACTGATGTAAATCACAATTTTCCCATCATGCCATGATCCGATGTGTGTGCTGCAGGACTCTTCTGGCGTTGGGCTGTCATGTTGGAGTGGCGGACGAACGAGCCGCAGAGAAAGTAAAAAATCTGAAGCTTTCAGCAAAGTGAGTGTCAAACGTCAGTCATGAAATACTAACACGTTTATGTGTCTGGATTTATGTTGTGTTTGGGATATTGGTGTCACAACTAGTTAAGCTAAGCTCTGATATCTCACTTTTCCATTAAACATCACACTGGTTAACTAGATTGAGCACTAACCAGCATCCTCTGAACAGAATCTCTGTCCCACATTTGAGTTTCCTGCATGTCTGTTACGTGTTGATATCATGTATGTAGTAAGCGTTAGTTGCTCGTCTGCTGGTCAGTTAGCGTGTGTTCTCCTGTCAGATACCAGCTGTCCAGCGGGTATAAACCGGCCCCGATGGACCTGATCCACATCAAACTGGCGTCTACCCAGGAGGCCATGGTGGACAAGCTAGCAGAGAACGCTCACAACGTCTGGGCGCGAGACCGCATACGACAGGGCTGGACCTACGGCGTCCAGCAGGTCAGTGTGTGTGTGTAGTGTGTAATGTGTAGTGTACATACCGGCTCCGTCCTAAACCCACTTATGCTTCCAAAACATACACTGCATGATTGGACTCTTTTATATGGTGTGTTCAAGTCATGACGATAGGATTTAGTGAGTTGAACGCACATGAATGTCAACGTCACAGTTAGGAATGGGAAACCATGAACTTTTTAAAGTCCTGAGTTTCTGAGCGTTAGTGAAAAAACATGTTGGATGCAATGAATGCAGCATCTGTATTGATGGTAAATTTGTTGAAATGAATGAAATTATTATATCTTTATCATTCACAGTGAAACTGGATACACTACATGTACAAAATACAATAGTATTGTACAATTATGATACAATTATTGATCCAATATAGTGATCCAATTCACATTTACTTCATAAATAAAAACATAAAAAAGCAAAATCACATCATTTTGTAGAAGTAGATTTAAAAACGTTAGCAAAACTTTCTGTAGAAAATGCACCTGACGTTGTAATTAAACTTCCCAACTCATAAATACTAACTTCCCAAGAGGACTTGAACGCACCGTTAATAGTAGTCTTTCGTTTAGATTTGAACTTAAGTGATTAATAATGTGGAACTGATACATTTGTTTATTTTATTTATTTATTTAGTCATTTAGCAGATGCTTTTATCCAAAGCGACTTACAAATGAGGACAATAAAAGCAGTCAAAACTAACAAAAGAGCAACAAGACAAGTCTCGTTTAGCCTAACGCAGTACACGTAGAAAAATTTGTTTCATTTTTTTTTTTTTTACCTTTATTTGTATAGCGCTTTATACAATACTGATTGTGTCAAAGCAGCTTTACAGTGTCAAACAGGAAAATAGTTTGTCAATAATGCAAGAAGACAATAACAGAGTCATTTTTCAGCTAAAGTCAGTTCATTGATGATTCAGTGACGTCATCATCCAGTTCAGCTCTCGTCCAATAGTGTCTGTGCAATCAGTCCTGGATACAGAAATATGTGTTTATTAAGTACAAATAAAGAGGAAAATGGAGAAAATAATCAAATGAGATGAAGCAGATTTCAAGTTTGAAGGATTTCATTCACTGGAATATCAAAAATAGATATGAACGCAAATATTTCATATATGAAGCAGTTTTACAGTTACAGTAGAAATAGCTATCGTGTGATATAAACGGACTGAGAAATGAGACTGGAGCCAGCTGTCAGTGAGATCCCCGTCTGGACTCCTCTGTGATGTCTCCTCACACTCGTCTCTGTGTCTCTGCAGGACATCAAGAGCAAGAGAAACCCTCGTCTGGTTCCTTACGTTCTTCTGGACGAGAGAACCAAGAAATCAAACAAGGACAGTCTGCGGGAAGCCGTGCGGACGCTGCTGGGATACGGATTCAACCTGGAGGCCCCGGATCAAGACCACGGTACCAGGAGTCTAGCCATAAAAAATATTTCCAATACTTGAAATAAAATACAAATTAACTGAAATAAAATAAAATGTATAAAAAAAGCTTAATCTTATTTTTTTCAGCTAGTTACCAAGGCAGCATTTCTCATTTTCATTTAGTGTAAGTTAAAGTGCTGAAATTACAAAACTAAAAACATAATAAAAACTATATAATAGTATTTTATAAAAAAAGATATAATAATAATGACAAAAACACAAGATTAAAAAAAAAAAAAAAATTTAATTAAAAAATGTTTTTATTAATTAAATAATTAAAATGAAAACAGAAAATATTTTTTACAAAAAATCTAATTCAAAAAGCTAACAAAACTATAATAGTATATCAATGATACAAAAATAACACTTGATGAGCCCAATTTTGTGTTAAAATGCAGTAAAACATGAAATTAATTAAATTTTTAAGATAGCCAACATTTACATTTAGTCATTTAGCAGACGCTTTTATCCAAAGCAACTTACAAATGAGGACAATAAAAGCAATCAAAATCAACAAAAGAGCAATGATATACAAGTGCTATAACAAGTCTCAGTTAGCTTAACGCAGTACACGTACCAAGGTACAATAAATACAAAATACACTGTCTGAATCACTCCCTGTTCCATATATAGTGCACTATGTGTCAGAAATGATGAACTTGATTTAGCTTCAGTGTCTCTTATAGTGTAGGGGGCGGGGCACTTCAGATTCTAGAGAGCATTTGATTGGACGGCGACTCTGAAGTGCAGAATGATGTCATCAGAATCGTTGATCTGCATTGGTGGTTTTTAGTTCTGATTGCAGATATCTTCTAAATGCATTTGTCATTGTTTTGGAGCACTCTAGCGTATTATATTCAGCTCATCATCCAGTGGTGGTTTGCTCATGCGTGTGTGTTTTGCGCAGCGGCCCGAGCAGACGTGTGTAATCCGTCTGCGGAGCGCTTCCGGATATTCCGAGCGGAGAAGACCTACAGCGTGAACGGAGGGAAGTGGTACTTTGAGCTGGAGGTGGTGACGGCGGGAGAGATGCGGGTGGGCTGGGCGAGACCCGGCTGTCTGCCGGACCTGGAGCTGGGCTCAGACGACCAGGCCTTCGTCTTTGATGGATTCAAGGTGAGCGTGATGCAGAAACACTGAGAGCCGTCACTCGTGTTGAGGACAGATGGAAGCTGAGCTGTGTTTCTGCAGGCTCAGCGCTGGCATCAGGGCAACGAGCACTTCGGCCGCTCCTGGCAGTCTGGAGACGTGGTGGGCTGCATGGTGGACATGAACGAACGCACCATGATGTTCACGCTCAACGGAGAGGTGCTGCTGGACGACTCCGGCTCTGAACTCGCCTTCAAAGACTTCGAAGTTTGGGAAGGTGAGTGAGACGTTTCCTATTCCCACTGAAATTGCTGTATTATGTGAAATTAACACTCGGATATTTGTAGGAACTCCATCATAATGTGATTTTATTTAAGATTTAATGAAATAGCTCAGCCAGAAATGATCATTTGATCATCCACTCCCCTCAAACCTATGGGTTTCTTTCTTCAGTCGAAAAACAAACCTTGAAGAACATTGGGAACCAAGCAACATTGGACCCCATTAACTTTCATTATATGGACAAAAAATATGGAGACATTTTTCAAAATAACTTATTTTTATTAAAGGATGATAGAATTAAAATTTTGGGGTGACTTATCCCTTTAATTGAGGTCAACAAGAAGTTAAAACTGACTCTCTTTATGTTCTTGCAGTCATACGTGATGTTATTATAAAGAAATAAATGTTTGTCTTGATAATCTTTGATCATAATCTAGTAACTTGTTCTCTCTGAAATGACTTTCTTTCTAGCTGACATCTTCAGTCTTTGTTATTTAACCGTCTGTCATATAGAGACAGTGAGTGTGTGTGAGTGAGTGTGTGTGAGTGTGTGTGAGTGTGTGTGTGTGTTTGAGTGTGTGTGTGAGTGAGTGAGTGAGTGTGTG